GATGTGCTTACGATTGTAGTTCTTTTTTGATCCTTTGAGTTGAGTTCTGGAGCAACACGAAGCGCCTCAAAGACGGTTTATGTTGTAAAATGTTTGTACATTCAGATACTTGGATATTAAAAGAATTACTACCAGAAATGTTTCCCTTTTCGTAGCAGGAAGTCCTGAGATTTCTCCCCAGAAATGTTTCTAAAAGCAGAAATGCAGAAAATGAACCACAAAATAACTCAATATTCCTCAGTATTCAAACACACACGAATCCTGCAGGTACTTTTCAAGGAAAATTGTGACTGAATTTGACGAGAAGTTCCACTAAATGATGTGTTGTTTTGGTTTTATGTGACCAGGCTGCAGTGTAGAAGAAGCTCTGGAAGCTGCTTCGCTCCATCCGGCTCAGCTTCTGGGTGTCGACCACAAGAAGGGGAACCTGGACTACGGATCGGACGCAGGTCAGGATCCAGAGGAGAATCTCCATCTCTCGTTAGAAACAATAATTATTATTATTATTATGTCATAATTATATGTTCATGTTTGATGTGTCCGTGTTCGCAGACCTCGTTTTGCTCGACGACGCCCTCAACGTCAAAGCCACCTTTATCTCTGGAGAGGAGGTCTGGAGAAAAGAACCAGAGAAGAAGAAGTAGCCTGAAGCTGGGAGCCGCGGTGCCTTCAGGGGGAAGCTGTAAATCACAGAACCACAAATCTGTTGAATGTTGTTGTTCATCAGAAAACACAGGGAACTTTATCTTCAGCTGCTCTTTCATTTAAAAACGATCCGGTTTAACTGATTGGAAACTATTGGATGGATGAAGTCTACGGACTTTCCTTGAGTCTCAGTTGTACTTTTGAATATTTAGTTTAGGTTGAAAGTTCAACTTCGACCGATGACTGAAGTACTCGTGTACAGCTGAGCCTGAAGCCCTGTGCAGATAGAGCTAATATTAATGAATTCATATTACTTCCTCTAATAAAAGTCGTCATTCTTGACGGCAGTAATTATTAACGATGAGGCTGCTTTTACAGAAAGAAAGAGACGTGATGTTTAAACACATGAAGCTCACGTTTGATGAACTTCCTTCATTTGTATGAGTTGACTGACGTTAACATGTGATTTATCTGTAAATATATTATATCCATTGACCGTAGATAAGATCTTGTTTTTCTACCATCGCCATCTTTGTTTTTTTTGCTATTTCCAACTTGGTTTATGGTCGTCGCCATCTACTTCAGACTCGATAGCGTAACCAGATCTTTCTATATAAACTCTTAAATGTGTCTTGGTGGACTGGATTTGAGTTACAGGCGGTTCAGTTAGCTCACTGATCACTTATTAGACTCTTACTGGGAAGATGGTTGAAAAATCACGGACGCATGAGCTCCAGATGGAATTAACATCATTGATGTGATGACATAGAGACATGGATCCAGTCCAAATGGAGCTTCAGATGTCCTAAATAGGCCACCGTACAGAGATTAGACCTTTTACAAAAGATAAAAACTTGACTTTTTTCCTCAAGACTTTTCAATTTAAGAATATCGAAATTCTTTCTCCATATTTCATTAATCCAGAATGTTGTTTTTTGGGGGTTTATTGATGATTGTAGCCTCACAGGACCGCTGCACATTAGTTGGACTGACTTTGCTGATAGCCAGTACTTTACTAAATAAATCTGTTTTATAATAAAAGTATATAAATCAACTTTCAGTGGAAGTTGCTGTATGATGATTTCTCCTCTTCTAAGCAATAACATTTACTTTTGTTTTATCATCTGATGTTTAAGTGGATTTTTGTTGTCTGTCATAGAGTTTTTATCAGATCTATTCAGCTTTTTATTACAGTTCATAGATCACAGGTCATATTTACGGGGAAGTCACTCTCCTGTTTAACCGCTCAGAGACATCTAAAGACACAAGCCCACCACTGGGAACCATCGGCTAAATGCATTACTTTTATTTCTTTTTGCAAAATCTTAATATATATATTTCCCTCTGAAATACTTTTGACTACTGACATATTTTTAGTTTTACCGTGAATTTGCCATAAAAATGGAGCAAAGTACCAAACACTTTGTTTTTATTTCAAATTTAAAAAGTAATTAAAGATCAAATGAATACAGTGAAGTAAAAAGTACATTATTTCCCTCTGATATGTTGTAAAGTATACTTAAAAAAGCGTAATGAAGGACGAATTGTACAGTAAAAATACCTGAGTAAATGTAAAGTTACTTTATAATTAAAATGAAGCTTTTCAGATTTCTGATATGCATTTTGTAATAAGCATTAAATTAGATTAATAGACAATCAAATCTGAAAATACAATGTTAAGTTTACGCTACATAAAGGAGCATTTATTTAAAAATTAAAACTACTTTTAATCGGCCGACAAGCTTAATAACCGACACCCCTCACAAGGCTAAGCTAAGTAGCTAAGTGAGCTAGCTATAAGTATTCAGAATAAATTGCCCAACTTTGTTGGGCAATTTATGCCGACTTTCACATTTTAGCTGCTAGCTAACTTTGCTAACGCTGACTGTTAAGTAGTTTTGCCGTTAAGGAATAGAAGAACAGCTTTTAAAACAACAAAAGCCTTTAGAAACATAAAAACAGAAATGTAGTTTATTCTCCTGGAATTAAAGTGCTGCTTAGTGTTTTATTTATTATAATAACTATATTATAAATGTATGGTTTCTAAGGTGCACACATGCCTGTACTGCTAGATTTATCAGGAGTTTGGTGAATCATCTTTATGCCGATTTAAGCAGAAAGCAGCAATGATTTGTAAAATAAACTTAAATTCATGTTTCAGAATGTGTGCACGTGCTTGTAAATCAAGCTAGTTGATATTATATTGCTAGAGTTATAATGGGGTTATAATGGAGTTATAATGGAGTTATAATGGAGTTTGGTGGTGAAATTGTAACTGAACCGACATGTTTGGTGTTAACTTTGCATCATCCAGAACCGTAATGGAGGAAGAGGATCTTCATCTTGACCGGATAACGGTCGATACGTCCCGGTGTCCTGTCCCGAGAAACGTCCCTGGAGAGAACCGAGCTGAAGGAGAGCTACACCAGGCTAGCCGCAGTTAGCCACCGAGAGGACCGGAAACGGATGCGAAACGACCTTCAAAATAAAAGAGCAACAAGCAACAATGGCCACAAAAAGAACTGAGTCGAAATGTATTGATTAATTCCGTCTATATGTGCAAGAAAACTAAACAAATCAGCCTCCGTGTTGTTTATGCTGATGGGGGTCAGAGGGGTCATAATTAGTGCTTGAAATATGAATTGATTAGAAGATTCACAGAAAATTAAATAAACAATAATTTTGATAATTGTTTAAAATGCAAAACCTTTCTCTCATTCCAGTTTCTTAAATGTGAGGATTTGTCGGACAACAAATCAGCAAATTTGAAGATGTCACAGGGGAAGTTATGTTGAGTATTTTTAATTAGGATTTTGGTGGTTACACGTTTCAGAGAGTTCAAATAAATTGATTAATCGAATATGATGATAGTGTAAGAACAAGAATAAACAAACATTTGAGTTTAAAGTCCAACAAGCCAAAACCTGAAGTATATGAAAAGTATTTTATTTTGAAGCACTAATTTGTGCAGACATTAGATTTTAGAACAGAGAAGATTTTTATGACTATGATTTGCATTTATTGAATTTATTTATTAATACAATTAATGTATTCATTAATACAAAATAAATGTTTGAAATATATACCACTAGTTCTACAAGGTTGTGTCTAAACTGCTTCAGGGCTGCAATCTAAGATTAATACACTTTATTAATCTAATATTGATTTATTAAGACTATAACGTGTGAACAATTGTGAATTGTTCGCTTGTTTTGTCCAAACTCAAAGATATTCACTTTACTCTCACATATGACAAATAAAAACTGCAAATCTTCACACTTGAGGACGGATCATTTAAAAATAAAAGAAGTTGTCTCATTTCCTTTACATTGGATGATTGTTTTGCGATAGAGTACATATATCATATATAAAACATATATATTATATATATATATATATATATATATATATATATATATATGTTTTATTTAAAAATGTTCTGGTCATGTTTTTGTATGAAAGTTTGATTTAACCCAAAATGCTGCAACCCACGGTGGGTAAATGTAGTTTTATTTTGAAATATTATGACAGGAAGTGTCTGGTGTTGCCTGCAGCTTGACGGTGATGGTGAGAGGAGAGAGGTGGTGGTGGTGACTCTGCACATCGGGCTCATATTAAAGAGGGATGCATGGAGATCTCAGACAGCTGCAGCAAACATCCATCTCCTCACCTGAAGTCCAGCGTGTCCCGTCTGCAGCAGGTGAGTCCCGACTGTCCCCCGAGCTGCTGTCTGTCTCTGTCCTCTCTGCAGTTTCTCCTCCAGCCAGCAGCTGTATGCTGCAGGTGCACCAGGTACCTAAAGTCTATGTGAACTTCTCCATCAGCAGGGAAGCATCTGCAGTGAGGCACGGAGGAATTCTCTTTGAATGCATTCATTTGACTCAGTTTTGAGTCTCTTCAATGAGTTTGTCTTTAATGCTTTGATTATTTAGTCATTCAGAGACAGATAAAAGACAAAGGACACATTCTTCTGAGGTGTGATTTAATAACGATAAAGAAGTGCATGTTTGATCGAGGACGAGTGTCTTTGTGGTCGGTGTGTCTTCATCGCTCACATCTGAAGCTGCAGCTCCTCAGGTTCTCAGGCGGGTCTGAAGTCCTTGTCCAAGGACAACACTGGAGTGAGACTGTGAGCCACGTCGCTCACTAATGGAGCTTTAGATGTGTTTCTCTGCAGGACACTGATGCTCATTTGTCCCTGCTGACACTGATGAAGTATAAATAAGATGCACTTCTAAACAAATCAAAATAAAACCTGTTTAAGGTTTGTAGAGCCACATATTTAGATGTGTTTAATCAAACTAGTGTTGACCGTACAGCTTCATGTGCTCACCTCTAATGTCAGCATGCATCTTTAGAGCTTCGAGTAAAGATTATTTGTATTGTTGATCAATCTGCAGATCGTTTTCTCAATTGGTCATTTTGTCTTTAAAATGTCAGAAAGTCATCAATTAGTTTAATAATAATTCAGTTATTCAGTTTAAGGTTACGTATGATAAAGAGAAGCTGAACCACAGAATATTTGGGATTGAAGTTTTTTTGGGATTCCTCAGAATAGATGCCGACTCTCCCTCTGCCTCCTGCTCCTCCTTCAGGGCGCCTCCTCCTCCTCCTGAGCCAGCTGCATCATGGGAGGTTCCACCTCCTCCCTCATTGACGAGGCCGAGGGTGATGATGCTGCACCTCGGGGTGCAGCTCTGCCCCCCTCCCCCGTCATGGGATGTCTGAGGAGCAGCCAGAGCGCCTCCCTCCCTCGGCAGCTTCCCCGACCCGACAGGCACAGAGAGCGCAGGTAAGAGATACCTGAGAACGGGATAGGGCTCTGGGCCAATCAGCAGCAAGATACCTGAGAACGGGATAGGGCTCTGGGCCAATCAGCAGCAAGATACCTGAGAATGGGATAGGGCTCTGGGTTCTTGGTTTTGGGCTGTCGCCATCTTGTTTATTTACAACCAGAAGGGACACTAGAGGGCGGAGCTAAGTACAACACAATGCTCACAATTTCCAAATGCAACCAAAATGTTACAATCAACTTCCATGAAGTGAAAACACTCTAAAAGGGTGAAAGTTGTAAGACAGAAACACGGACAACACTCAGACCGCACAATGCTTTGGTAGAGTGTAGCCCTGTGTAGCCCCGCCCTAAAGCATCCCCTGCTTTATGGTCTGTGTGACTCTAAATGGACCATAATGTACTAAATGAACATCATGCTGTATTGAAGAAGACTTGAAACTAGAGATTGAGACCATAAACTCATGTTTACAATGTTTACTGAGGTAATAAATCAAGAGAGAAGTAGAGTCATTTTCTCATAGACTTCTATACAACCAGAGGAGTCGCCCCCTGCTGGACACTAGAGAGAATGCAGCTTTAACACATGAAGCTTTGACTTCACTTTAAAGAAGCGGAGGTTTGTCTCCTGGTTGATCCGTGTTCCAGGATTCAGGCTTGTTTGTTTGTTTAACTCTACGTGTGGAAACAAGTGATCGTGATGATTAATTCATGTCATTACTCCTCACAGCTGACGGCTGAATGTACAAATTTATATTCTACACTTGTGTAGATTCCTGAGCTCCAGAATGTGTGTCATGAATTTTTCATGAATGGTTGGATATAAAGTAAACCTCAGCCTTCCTCTTATTAATTATTACTGTGCTGTGTTTATGAAGCCTCCATGAGGAGTCCAGTTACTCTGACAGGAAGTAGCGCCACCAGGAGTCCCTGAGGACCGGACTGTAGACCAGAGTCTGGCAGAGATCTACTCTCATCTGGTTTAATGCAGATCAGAACGGACCGAAAGTGACTTCAGATGAGAAGAACTTTATTATCCTGATCTTGTGCCAGAGTTTCATTAAAGATTACAACAGAAAGCGATAGAATACAAATTATTAAGTGTAGATAGATAATACTGACCCCAGTGCAGAGTAGAATAGAACGGCAATAAGTCTTAAATAAAGTCCAAAATTCAACTAAAATAAAAAACTAAAGATTAAATAGAAGACTAAAATATAAAGTGTATGAGAAGTAAGACGTTTATACTTTAACTTTATATCTTGTATCATATTCAGATTAAACCTTAAAAGTAAAACTCATCCAACATTTTTAATTATCAAAGTTCTTACAGAAGGAAAAGAATAATTCAAGACAATAGTACAAGCAAGAATAAAAAGAACAATAAATACTTTAAATATTCTGCTGATCAGCCACAAACACAACTACAGGAGTCCAAAGAACATTTAGCAGAACTTAACACTTTAATCTGAATATTCATCCTCCTCCCCCGGCTCAGACTCTGCTTATCTTTACCTTCACCTGCCGTAATGTGAAGGAATAAAGTATCAATTAAACTGGAAAACATAACCACACTAAA